GGCAGGGGTGGCACTGGGTGGGATTTAGGGTCCTTCCAGCCCCAACCTTGTGTGATTGCATGGTTTTATGATTCCATCATTATTTGTACAGCTGAGGCCCTACCCAGGTGTGTTTAATGATGATTAACAGTGGAATTAGTCACAGGAACATTCAAAACAACTCCCAGCAATTCTGCTTTCAGTTTCACTTTTAAAGCAGTTTACCTCAGCCTCTGCCTCAAACCCTGGAGCTCTGCATGAATTCCAGTATCCCCCCCCTTTTTAGCAGTGCTATGGAAGTACAAATCAGCAGCACTGCAAGAGCCCAGGCAGCAGCACAGCTCTGCCCCCAAAGCCTCAGCCTTACACCAGCTCAGTCTGGAAATGAAGAGGGCTGGGATCTGCACGAGCAAGTTTTTGGGGAACAGAGTCCCTGCTGCAGCAGGCCCAGGGAGCCCAGTTCCTCCAGGCCTCTCTGCTGGGCCACCCTCCAGGCCCAACTGCCACGGAACTTTGTAGCAGTTACTGAATCCTGTCTTAAAGGGGACTCGTCCAGAGGAGGCAGGAAGGACAGCACTGCTCTCCCTCCAGGTCCCATTCCCAGAGCCAGGCTGGCTCAGCAGAGCTGTGCTGATTCTCACCCATCCCCAGATGCCTGTAACCCTCACTGCTGCCAGCATTTGCCATGGATCACCCTGAATTCCACAGCACTTGCTGGGAAGGCTCAGCTTTAGGAGCTCCTTCACTCCTTCAGTGCTGCCTCTAAACCCAGCAAGCCTGGAATTCTTCAGTGTTTGAGAAGGATGTTTTCAAATCAGTTCAGAACACTTGACATGAAATCATTTTTTCACCTCAGTGACCAAGACATCACACAAACTACTGCAAAACTGAATACTTCCCATAGTAAACAGGCTGGAGCAAGAAGAAAGAGCAGAACTTACATTAAATTTAATAGTGGTGCCAGTTGGAGCAGCAGTGAAGCTGGTTGGGCCAAAGAGAGAGCCAGATGTGCTCCCAAAGGGGTTGGAAGTGGTGTTGGTGGTCCCAAAGAGCCCCCCACTGCTGGTGCTCGTACCAAAGTCTGAATAAAGCATAAAAAATAACAACATCAGTATTACAACAAACCCAAAGTTTAAAACTTAAACCATAATACTTTATTCAAATTAAAAACTGGTTTGAAAATACAAAAAACTGCTGGGAAAAAGAATCTGACAGCAAAGCTGGAAGCTGATGGTGCTGCTAATGCAGTTCCCTGCTGCAGAAGTGTCCTTAACTCAGCACCCCAGAAACACCAGACACCACAGTAGTTTCCTTCTACAGCAGTTTCCTTTCTTCCAAGCAGGAAAAAAACAACACAATAACTTATGTTATTATGTTATGTTATGTTATGTAATAAAGAAAATCAGCAAGGCTCCTTTTCTTTTTTCAGAAGGGGCTGCCAGCAGTTGCTTTTGCCTCATGAAATTACAGAAGAGTTTAACAGCATTCCCTGTCTTCTCCTGCCACACAAACCCAACTGTAACTGCTCTGCCACAAGATAAAAACCTGAAATCAATCAGCACCAAAACAGTATTCAGGATAAACAATTCCAACCAACAACCTTTGGCAATTTATTTTAAAATGCAGGGCTGGAATCACAGCTAGATTCAGGAGCATGGGCTCCACCCTGGTTGCTGTGGGCAGAGGGATGTCCTTGTATCCTGCAGGAGAAACCCCCAGCCCCACCCTGACCCTGTCCCAGCTCCCACTGCTCTCCCACCCATCAGCAGAGGGGCACCAGTCTCACTCACTTCCAAAACCAGCTGGTTTGTTCTGTGCAAAGGCATTGTTCTGGGATGAGAAGAGGCTCCCACCAGTGCTGGTGGTTCCAAAGAGGCTGTTTGATGTGCCAGTGGATGTGCCAAAGCCAAAGCCAGTGCTGGTGGAGGAGGTGGCTGGTTGGTTGAACGTGGTGGACCCAAACAACCCTCCTGCAGACAGAAACAGGCTGTCAATGCTTCACAACCTCCTCTGCTTGGGAGCCTGGACAGGTTCTTGCTGTCCTGGGCTTTCTGGGTATTTTTGTTGGCAATTCCTTGGTTTAGGCTGCTCCCCTTCTCCCCTCCCTCCCTCCCCAGCCCTGGGGCAGTACCTGGCTTGCTCTGCGTGCTCCCGAACAGGCTGCCCGTGTTGTTGCTGGAGCCAAAGGCCGAGGTCCCGAAGGCTCCTCCGCTGGTGGTACCAAAGCCAGCATCTGCGAGCACAGCCCAGAGAGCCCCTCAGGCTGCAGCTCCACAAACAGCCCCACAACACACACAGCTCTTCCTTCCAGGCCTTCCCAACAACCCACCATGGATTTGTTCAGCCCCAAAACACCCCAGCGACACCGCCTTCCCCAAGCACTGCGTTCTCCACTCTCCCTTCCCACAGAAGAAATTCCCACAGCAGACATGGAGCCCTGGCTGTCTGCCCAAACTGAAAGCTTGCTTAGGGGTGAAGCCTCAGGGAGAACCCTTTCCAAGGCAGCTGGAGCATCCAGCAGCTCCCTAATTCCATCCCACGAGGGATCACCACCTCCCTGGCATTCTCTGAGCTGCCCTCCAGGAAAAGACACCTCGTTAAAGCCACCCTGGATATTTCACTTACTTTGCCCAAAAGTTGAAGTTGTGCCAAAGCCGGTGCTGCCTCCGAACGGAGTTCCAAAGGATTTGTTGAACATTTTCAGGATGTATCAGGTTTTCTTCCTAGACCTGGAAAGCAGAATTCAGGTTTGATTGAAAGCTCACCCTACAAACTCATTTTCCATCTCCCTCACTGCCGAGGGCAGCAATCCCACCAGACTCCTTCAGCACCAACCCCACGGCACTGTGTGGTTCCAAACCCTGCCACAACCCCGGGAGGGTCAAAGGCACCAACATTCCAGTGACACCAAACATCAGAGTCCCTAAAATTAAGGTGTGACCTTTAATTACAGCTGGAGCTCCTGCCCATCTCAGCCTGTGTCTGGGCTGCAGCGATCCCAGAGCAATCCTGGGGCTTTCCAGGAATGATTTTCCTGTTCCACCCTCTCTGCCAGCTGCCTCAAGCCCGGCAGAGGGGAATGCACTGCACGGGATTACAGGAACCCGGCCTCCCTCTGCTCCCCCTTCCCAGCAGTTGCTGTTCCAGGGCAGTTTTGCTGGGCCCAGGTCCCTCTCCAGCCCCCACGGTTTCTTTACAGCATTCCCTGCTGCCTCTCCCAGCCTCCTCCCCCAGCTCAAACAGACACAAACTCTGCTCCAGCTCTCTGAGTTTGTCAACAAACCCAGCACAATAATCCCCACAGCTCCTCGGGCACACTGCGGGGAACTGTGGGGTGTTTTCCTGCAGCTTCACCACTGAAAGCTCCAGATTAGCCAAAAACATGCCAGATTAATAAAAAAAGCCAGTGCTGCCCCAAATAATGTTCATATTGTCCCCAAAACAGCAGTACTAGCAACGAAAAAAAGCTAGAACTAGAAAAACAAAATGCCATGTTAACCCAAAAAAAGCCATATTAGCAAAAAAAACCAAAGTTAAAAAAGCCAGCATTACCCCAAAAAAGTGCCATGCTAACCAAAAATAATGGGTGTAATGATTCATCAAAAGCCATATAAGCCAGAAAAAAATGACAATACTAACCAGAAGAAATACACATTACTAAAATAATGTCCAATAACAAAAAAAAAAAAGCTAGTACTGCCCCACCCCTCCAGATTCAGCAGGAAATGAGGAATTCCCCCACATTCCCAGGTACTCCTGGCAGCAGCAGCCACACTCAGCTCTGCAGACCATCAGCAGTGCAATGATGGCCCACACCAGGAATATTCCCAAGGCAAACAATTCCAGCTAAAGCCCAAGCTGCCGTTTCCCTGTGCCCAAGGCAAGCACAGAGGGACTGGGCACTGCCCAGCACAGCCTCCCCCAGGGCAACTGCTACATCCATGTGCCCAGCCTTGAAACTCAAGTGCTTGTTTCCCTAACACCAGCAGCACTTTCTGGGAATGGCCAAATCCAGACTGGGAGCAGCCACAGGCTCCCCCCATCCCTGAGCAGCCCAGAAGAACCAGCCCAGGCAGGAGAAATAAAAGGATGATTTGTAGTGCCACCTCCAACAGACACACCACACAATTCTGGAGTGTTAAGGGTCTCCACACATCCACAGGCAAAGCCTTACAGGCTTCATTTGTCCCAGGAAGAGGAATTTCAGGGGAAGGATCCTGGTAAAAGGCAGGAAAAGCTGCTCTGACAAACTCTCAGAGCTCCCCAAGCTGAGAGGAGCTCCTGGGAGAGGGTAACACAGCACCCTGAGCCCTCCTCACCTTCTCCCATGGGATGCCTGGTGCTGGCACAGCCCTGCCAGCCCATGCAGTGCCAGCTGTGCCCCATGGGCACCTTGTGCCCAGCCCAGAGCACTCAGTGCCACCTCCAGGGACACCTGCAGGGATGGGCACTGCAAAGCTCCCTGGGCAGCCCCTGCCAAGGCCTGAGCTCCCTTTCCATGGGCAAATTGCTGCTGCTGTCCCAGCTGAGCCTCCTGTCAGGGAGTTAGGAGAGTGGAAAAGTCCACTCTGCACATCCTTTTCTCCAGGCTGACCCCCCAGGTCCTTCTCCACCAGAATCTGCTCCCAAAGACACCTCTTCACTCCTACTGAATATTTTCAGGCACCTCCCCTTGTGCCAGTCCAAGTTTCTCTTTCAGGCCAGATAAAAATCACCTGCACTTTCCCGCTGTCCGATGTTGTGACTCTCAGCTTTATCTGCAAACTCACAAGTCACTCATTTTCTGTGGCTCCTCTAAGTCACTGCTCTCACATTGTCCTGAGATCACTAAACGCCAAACTCTACCTAAGAAGAAAACTAAAAAATCATATTTTAAGAGAAAATGTATTAGGGTTGTTATAGAAAGATTTCCCCCTCCCACAGCAAGCATTTTGTTCTACCTCAAACCCAACCATCCTCCCCTGCACCTCGAGGGCTGTGTCCAGTTCTGGGCTCCTGAGAGAAAGAGAGCCCTGGAGGGGCTGGA